AAATTTAATTATATCATTTATCGTCTAATCTACTTCATTAATTTTTATTAATTGACCTATATATTTCTCAGTTGATATTATTTTAATTGACCGTCTATTTTGCTCTTTTTTGGTTATCACTTACCATTTTAGACACATCTGGCTTTCCTATCTTTAATTGCCTGGGTGTACAATGGTTCTTGATGATCTTTTCGTTGGTTCTCATTCTTTTTTAAAACTGTTTGGGAATGGGTTATTTTTTGCTATGTTATTCTTGTCTGCTTTTGTACTTTTCGCTATAGCCTGGATTTCGACACGAGTTAGTAATCAGATCAGACCTATTCGAGTTTATCTTTTTCGTGCTCATGAAGAGGAAATTGAATCTGAACCAGAGTTAGTAGATAGCGTTAGTCAATCTCCAATCAGCCAGGAGAATGAGCCCCATGATAACGAGGACGAAGTCGTCTTCACAGAATCAGAGAATAGTGAGGCGAATGAGGATGAAGATGAGCTTCGAGATTATTTAACAACTCGCAAGCAATGTAATTGAGATTTTTTTCATTTTAATTTCTGGCTTTTATGCTATAATTAATTCAGCACCCGCGATGGATGATGAAAATTCTGGCAACCCAGGTAATGCAGGTCATATAGTTGATAAGAAATCAATAACGGAACGCGAAGAAGCCAGAGCTGCTAAGCACCGCTCTAGAGGACATATTGTTATTCGTCTTCAATACCTAGACGATAGGTCTAGATTTGTTCACGCTGCCCCTGAAATGCCAATAACCCACTTCAAAAGGTAACCTTTTGCCAATTTTAATTTACACTTCCTTCGAGTTTTCGTGCATTTGCTTACTATACTACTAAAATGTTTGCATTCGAGTTCAAATTTATAAGATATCTATATCGTGGGTGTGAGCTAGACTTTGCAACAGGCTGGGACTTCTATTATTTTATTTTCTAAATATTTTTTGCCAAATTAGCTTTATCACTCCTTTTTTTATTCACTTTATGATTAGGTACTAGATTTGGATGTTTTTTATGTCTAACGATAACTTAAAACTATTTTTGCTATCTTATCTTCTTTAAACTATGAATGTTTTTGTTTAAGATTGAATATCATAATAATAAAAACGATGGCAACTTTAGACATGAATTATTCACCTTATTCGAGTGGTTTTTAAAGTTTAGCGATATCTATTATTTGCCACATACTCAGACTAAGACTCATCGCTCTTTAGAGAGAGACGTATTTTAGTGATATGGCTTCAGAAGTATATGGGCTATGTTAAATGCGAATACTTGTAGTCATTTAAGGACGAGACAGGACCCCACTTTGCATTTAGACCTTTTAGACCTATTTAGAACGTGTTTGCTATTTGAAAA